TTCAGCAGCAAGTGCGGATGCCATAGGCAAATGTCCCATCGAGGCCGACAGAGGTTCGACTTTTTCAGGCCACGACCGAGAGAAACCAGACGCCGTTTGTGGCCTGCTTTCTTCTCAAACCTCAATCTGAATGCGCCAAAAATTGAGCGATTTGGCAGCCTGGCGAGCGCTCTGTTCAGGTGTCGCAATGCCGGACGTCACCAGCGGCGCTTCCTCCACCTTCTGGCGGTAGAGAATCGCAAGGTTGACCGGCAGACACTTCATCAAGACGCGGTTGAGGACCACGTTGTACTGGTCAGGTGAGACGCCCAAACCGGTCAACGCGGATACTCGAAAATAGACTTTGTCGTAGAGCAGGCGAAGCTTCTCCACGTCTTCCGACGACTTCACTGGCGCTAAGGCAAGCAGGTGGTCCACGTACTCGTTGACAAGCAAGTAGCGTCGACCAAATCGTTCCGTAAACATCTTGATCGCGATGTTGTATGGTCTTCGGTTAGTCAAATGCCCTTGATTCTCACTGCTGCACCGCTCAAACGGAACTGAATGTATACTTGAACTTCTCGATCTCAATCTGTAAAAGTTCGTCATTCAAGTGAATCGTGGCACTGAAATGGTCCCAGAAAGACTGCCAATCACGAAGTGCGCCGGAAAACGTTGGGATCAGTAGTTTCGGCTAGAGCACCGTGTGGTGACGCGGCATCGTTCCTTGACTAGGAATCTAATCGGCTACTCGAGCACAGTCACTGACCTGGCTGTGGGCTGCGGTGCTGGAACCGCCAGCGTCGGCGTTCGGTGATGTAGCCACCGACCTCGCAGGACTCGTTACTGTCGCCTTATTTGCAGCCTCTCGGAGGAAAAAACGCGCTCGAGGCCCGTTGTAAGAGACCTTTCGTTCGTACTCTTCCGCAACCTCGAGCTCTTTCTCATAGTCGTGGTCGTCAGTCGCATCGAAGATTTCTTTGTTTAATGTCACAAGCCCGGCGTTCTTCTGAGTGAGGTAGGCAACGTGGAAATCGACCTGACTGGCAACGGAAACGGAGGCCTGCATCTCGTCAGTCAAGAGCGTGATAGTTTGTGTGACGCTTGTCCTGACGACGCTATGGTTTTTGCGCAGCCGCTCCAACGACGCCATCGGAAGTAGAAGTCTTGGAAGGGCGCGACTGGGGGGTTTTCTTCACCAGAAAAATGTCGCGTATTCAAGACCCGAGCCCTACACCAAGAACGTTCATGTTTATTTCTACCGCTCGTACCTGCCCCATTTTTTTCTCTTGGTTCTCCTCGTTGTTGTCTTGTCACACGGCCTCAATCATGCGAACAACAGGGCGTGTCAATTAGCTACAGCGAGAGTGCGCACAAGATAGTACCATGACACCTACGCACATATTTAATGCATGTTATTTACTCGCACTTCATACAACCGCATAAATACGTTGGTGTAGTGCACATATAATTTAATCAGGTACAGCATTGCAGATAACTTTTCAAGCAAAAAAAAGGCTCTAGTAGTTACTAAATAAGATGTAACTACACGTAGGCACAGTACGTAGAGATTATAGGCGCAAGAAATATGAAAAAAAGATGAAAGAGAAAAACTTGAAGTATAGACAATGAAATTTTTTCGAAAAACGTCACCACAAGCAAAGCGAAAACCAAGATCAAGCTCTATAGTTGCAGCGCTTACACTTCTTACAGTAGGATTTCACCAGTAGTCACCACTCGGACTATAAAGGTGGCATAGATCGTACGTAATCCGTCAATATTTGGGTAAACCGTGGCCCGTGATGTACTGGCTGCGGTAAATGGGTACGCGCCACACATGATTGATAGTTTACGTCTACCTGAAATGGTGAGGACTACATAAGTAACTGAAATGTGAGCGTATGATGAGAACCTGACATCTGCAGCATATATGTAAAGACCCAACAAATTCAGAGATAAAACAACGGGATTTCCGCAGGAATCAAAGCCAAGCGTACTGAGCGGAAATCAGGTATTTTCCGACAAATCAATGATAGGTCTTAAAACTGCTTTGGAAAAAAGAGTATGTGGGCGCCAGGTCGGTGCAACTTCAATTGCATGTAGTTTCCGTGCTGGCAATACGATTCTATAACAAAGCAACGAACATGACATGTGCAAAACCTGATTTACATACAGCATGATGGTTTAACCTCCAAAGGGCTCCAATAGGGACTGCACTATTACAGTAATTTAATGAACATAACATTTGTACTTCCATGATTCATCAAAATATATTGAATCAGTGCTAGGCACCAAGGAAACACGTTAACGAAAGGTAGTGTAACATTCAAATTATCACACCATAAGGCACACTTAGTTTTGATTATACTACTACCATGCTCTAATCTGAGTGGTAACGTTGAGCCAGACCATAAGTTACACAGTGTATAGTCACCAGTAGACACCAGCGCAGTACACTTTCCTGGTGAGCCCAATTGTGCACACAAATACTGCTGCACTTAACATCGATCCACCTCACAACATTTCCTTTAAAGAAGGAAAAAAATATATCAATATTATTTATCAGCATAAACTTTAGCATTTGCTTCCTGTAACCAAAATCAAGGACTAACACAAGAACAACTTTTCAGCCTAACATGGGTGGTGCTGGTAGTCCGCGCATTAGCGATGGCGTCGTTAAGCTACTGTGGATCACCATTTGTCACATTTCCATGTTTTATACATACGTGAGTGCGCATAAAACTTGTACTTTTGTTTACTAAGTACTATCTCCATCTTCCTCGTATTGTTATGTTCCTCTTCAAAGGGCCACCCAGCATACTTCTGGACGCATGGTTTCTATATCATTAAATACCACAAAACGATATTCTGCTGAATATTTCAAATAAATAAATGAATGAATAAACAAACAAATAAACAAAAAATACATGCTAGGCCTGTGCGTAAAGCGTAGCAAAGTCACAGCGAAAGGTAGAAGAGCGCGATTTCTAGAACTCGTTGCAAACTCTTCTGTGGCTACTAATAGAAGTGCGCTTGCAAGGTACCCACTAATGCACTAATTTATTTGGTAGCTGATGACAACGAAGAAATATAGCTGAACCCTTTTTATTGTATCAAAACCATTCAACGACATGCTATTTATATTGCTTGACACCTGATTACACAATTCGCGTTCTGTGGCACCTAGTTGTTATATTGTTAATTTAACATATTACTCACCTTAAAACAGTTAATTTTCGACATAACGCTTGTACAGGGTTTTATGACGAAATCTATTAAGTGATCACAATGACAGGAGCAGTGGGGTAATTGTCCGCCGCCACCACCGTTGTCTTTTAGCGCTATTGCGTGAAGTTAGAAAAAAAATGAAATGAGAAAACAATTCTAAAGAATGACAGCCACTATTACTGTCTTCACGAATCAAGCATGAGCGCCTCTAACAGTGATAAATATTCCGTGGCTGCAACAATACTTTTCAAGGTCAAGGAATGGAGTCAACCTGGGAGACAGACGCCACCTTATTCCAAGCTGTCAGCCACCACTAACCCAGGCATTGCTAAGTAGCCACTCAGTGCTCTCGGCTATGACTCTAATGACTGTGGTAGAGGTCGACAGTCCTGTTATACTACAGTGAATTCTTTATTGAGATGACACTAAAAGCCTGTTTAGGCGCCGCATGTGCCGCCGCCAACGCTGGTGCCCGTAACTGCTACGCTATCTTGGAAATTTCAAGAAATCATTATAATAAAACATTTCTAGGAATGAATGAGATATGAACCAGATGTCTCAGCGTAGCACTCGAGTATTCTACCACAGAGTTACGCGGCTTTTTGATATTTATTTTCAAAAACGTCCTATCTAGGTGCCATGGCGGGTAAATAATAGCCTCAACATCTGTAATATAGCGTCGTAGAAGAGTTAAATACCAACCAGCCCAAAACAGCATGAATGGCACGAGTGGGTCATGGAATGTTTCCCATTATAACAGCATAAACCATAATTGTTTATTATCAGTAACAACACGAACGAAGTGCGCATAATTGCTTACTCATGCTTTGTGGGTACCTCGCTTATCCGAAGAATAGTGGCACACTGGGTACTTCCCTATTTCTTGAAAATTACGGTAGTTTATGACCTAGTGCGTACCTTGCACGAGTATTAGTTGGCCCAAGGGAGCCTATATTGGGCTCTAGAAATCACGCTATTCCAGCTTTCATTATAACTGGGTTGCGTGTTCTCCGCAGGCTGGGCGAATTTCATGCGTTTATATTGATTGATATGTGCAGTTTTTGTCCTAAAACCACCATATGATTTTGGGAGTCACCGTAGTGGAGAGCCCCGGAAATTTCGACCACCTGGGGTTCTTTTCCGTGCAACCACCTTTAAGCCCGCGGGACTAAATAATTATCGCTTCTATCGCAAATGCAGCCGCCGCAGCCGGGATTTGATTCGGTGACATACGAGTCAGCAGCCGAGTATCTTAGCTACTAGACCACTGCGGTGGGGCATGTTTACTGCGGTGGAAATAAAAAATTATATGGACACTCTCGGCTGAATCTTGCCACCGGCGGTCGCCGTCATTCACTGTATATACATATATGAACGCAAGAAAGAAAAAAATAAAATTTAGAAAAAGTCTCCGGTGCGCAGAATCGAACGTCGGATCTCTGAGTCGTGAGTTCGAGGTGTAAGCCACTGAGTCACGAAGGAGAGCCTCTTTGAACGTTCAAACGGCAATCTATTTATACCTACCACTTCCTTCTGGTAATGCGCATCTCTGGAGGGAACTATCATGTCTTCAGCATTACCAATGACATGGTGCAATGAGCGCGCGTCGCCAATTTGTCATGACGTCGTGGCGGTGCGCTCTCGTCTGCCACACGTACTTTGCCCGACGGAGAGCTGATGGAGGGGGTAGTTGACGCTCACCTGTGCCTGCGCTTATCTCAGTTAGGCAACATAGAACGCTTTGGCCTATCACCGGAACAATTCTGCTGTAGTTAACAGGCTCACAAAGGTCACTGCAATGGTTGCACGGTCTCCGTTTGCGAAGACATAGTGAAGGGGCAACTGAGACGCCTAATCACGGTCATCTGTATATGTGAGTACGTTTCGTGCGTCATTTGTGCGTGAGAAACGTGGGGCTTCTTTCTATCTGCTTGCCATTCTGCGCATGACCTTCCAATTTGTTGCTCTCGCGTTCATTGCTTCGCCTTTGTGACAAAGCTGCGGCCTTTTCTTTTTTTGCGTTTAGAGTTCGGGCACTGGCATGGCACTGCGGTAGAATACTGGGATACCACAGAGAAAACCTAGGGCTGAACCCCATTCCTTCTCGCATGTTTTTTATGTCGTTTTTTTATTTTGCGTGATAGCAATTACAGATACCGGCGGGGACGGTAGTAGACATACGGCAACCCTGCTGTTATTTCATTAAAGATTTCGAAATGTTGTAGGCCCGTGTGCTCAGATTTGGATACACGTTAAAGAACCCCAGGTGGTCAAAATTTCCGGAGCCCTCCACTACGGCGTCTCTCATAATCATATGGTAATTTTGGGACGTTAAATCCCACATATCATTAAAGATTTCGCTGTATTAAATAAATAAACAAATAAATAAATAACAAATAAATAAATAAATTCAAGAGGGACGCATAGTGTCAGTAACTGTATACGTAACAGGGCGTGATTATTATAATTCTACGAGATAAAAAACATGGGAAAACGTTCATTTCAAAAGACCTATCAGCTCTCGTTCCCTCGTAATTGAATAATGCTCACTATTACGACGCAATGCAGGTACTATGACAAATGCGATAATGAAAGAAGCCTTTGATGAGCACATTTATTCTATCTGCAACTACTAGTATACTTATGAAGCAGCCTGGAAATTGATCACCAGGCGGATGGAAGTCCTGAACTTCACAAGTACACTTAGGCAAGTACGTTACTGAAATATAAAAAAAGTTTTTTTTATTTTTGTCAACGTAGAAATGTAGTCCTAAAATTGAGCCCGCGAGACAGAATGAGTCACGACGTTCTTGTGTTCAGCACAAGAACGTCGTGACTTCTGCATGAGCATGGCAAGCCAGGACTCTTTTTATATGTTGTTGCCCTCATAACGTTGCTCCTGTATTCACAAAAACTGCTAAAATTTTGTTCTGTATTCACAAAAACAGCTAAGCTAAAAAATGTCCGGTAGAGCAAATTTTATTCACTCTCGCTGCTGAACATGTGCTCAGGGTAGCCAACAAGCTAATGGCAAAAAGCACGTACCAAAGATACGTTTTTTTTTAATTCTGCCAGCGCTGCTCTCTCAGTCATCGCACCAATTTTGCAGCGCTGCCTTTGTGTCGAGAGCTAAGGGCAAAACTTTTTGCTCAGCCATGAACAAACTATCGCAAGGAAACACTCAACAAAAACTTTGACACAAAAGAGTCCTTCTCTAGGCGTTCTATTTGGTCGCTGGCGACACGTCAAGCGGAATGCATCGATCACGCATTTGCGCATAGCGGCCAGCTGCAGAATACAAGTAGCGCCTGAAAAAATCACTGGCGGCCACGCTATTTGTCGTTATATCTGGGTGTGCTTTCCCGCATGTCAGCTGGACGTCAATTCGAATGACAGAGCAACGGAAGAATTGCGGTGGTGTGTTATAGTAAACATTTTAAGCTGCCGCTGGCTAACGATTCCTTTCGGTCGGACGCGCTATCCGCGCTCTGTCATATCCGACCAAACTAGCCCTCCACAGCAAGCATGCGCGTACGTTTACGAAGCCGCTAAACCACACCGAGTTCAAATAAGAAGCAGTAGTATCTTTCTCGCCTTGACTACCCTTTCTAAAATCCCTCTACCTCACTTGCCACTATTTGCTTCATAAAAGACGTGAAATGTCAGCACTAAGCTTTGAGCCAGTAAGGATTTCGCTCTTTTCGAATACGCAGTGCTATATCCGCTTGCGTACTCGCAAACGCAGAAAACGAAGTAAAATCAGTTTATCGTGCACGATAACACGCGAGGCAAGGCAGAACACGCATGCGACTGCATGGCAAAGCCTCTTTCACATGCGAGAGACAGAGCGTTGCTGGTAGCGTTGATGAGCGGCAGCGAAACGCGTGAACGCAAGTTAGTTTCACTTGCGCCGCGGCGCCCGTCGCTCTGGCAGGTATTGTTGCCCGCGGAAGGCGCCGGTTAGCTGCTGTTTTATGTGGTATTTAAAAGACACGCTTTGCTTCAAGTATCCTTTCTTTGACACCCTTGAGCTGCGAGATTCATCATCAATATCTGCTCGACTTTCATTGATTGATTGATTTGTGGGGTTTAACGTCCCAAAACCACCATATGATTATGAGAGACGCCGTAGCGGAGGGCTCCGGAATTTCGAGCACCTAGGGTTCTTACGTTCACCCTACTCTGAGCACACGGGCCTACCACCGTTTCCACCTCCATCGGAAATTGCGCCGCCGCAGCCGGATTCGAACCGCGACCTGCGGGTCAGCAGCCGAGTACCTTAGCCACTAGACCACCACGGCGGGGCAGCTGCTCGACTTTGACGAGTCTGTACAGTGATTGAACTAATCTTAACTGAAGTTATCACAAATAAACAACGTTTGCACTCGCTTTTAGTTTTTTGTTATGGCTTTTAAAGTGCAAGCATTTTGTTAGCGAACCTAGGTGAGTTTGACCAAATCGATATATTTATATCTATCTATCTATCTATCTATCTATCGATTATCTACTCTATCTATCTATCTATCTATTCTATCTATCTATCTATCTACTCTATTCTATCTATCTATCTATCTATCTATCTATCTATCTATCTATCTATCTAAGACCCACATTCTCCACTCATAGTGACATTCCGACCGTTTAGTTACCAGCAGATACATCAAAATTGATTCAGTATAAAAAGAGCGCGTGACAAACGTTGACGAAAGATCGTGCAGTGAGTATACCAGAATATACGTTTCAGTAGCCCGGTTAATATCATATGGTGTTTGCATTCATGCATGAAAAACAGGAGATGTCGAACTGCATGTCATGATATCAATTACTTAACATATTTCAAAGACCAATAAGGTGATGCATGCAGCTTATTGCTGGCTTCTTCACATTATATTGATTCCTATAAAGCGTGGGATTGGCCCAATTTTTTACCCTAAACGTCCTTGTATCAAGATATGTTCCGTGCACACTTTGATTCTGCATCTTGTTTTATCAGTTACACGTCCGATAATACTATTGCGGGAACGTAGGAATTTTAAAGAGAAGGAAAAAATAAGAGTAGCCGGAAATATGTAAGGATTCTGAAAACATTATAGGGGACCCTTAAGCTCCAACTTTTGGAGTTTAATGCGATATCGAGATGTTGTTCCTTGTGCGTATTTCAAACATTCAGTCACAAAACTTTTCAAAATTTGTTATGCACCCACTATACATAGACTTGAGTGAATAGGTGTCGTATCGCGTGTGCCTTTCGTAGTGGGGTACCGTCTTTCGACCGCGGAGCCATTATGATAATCACATATTCTGACGCCTGTAGTCAATGGACGCTTGTACCGTGCAATATTACTTCATCATTTCATGATGCATTGTGAAGCATATACACAGGATGCGTATACAAAAAACATCGAAGTTACTTTCACTGCATTTCCAAGCAGAGGAAGTTATTTTCACTGCTTTCATGAATATAAGCGTGGCCGTGTCGCAGAACATGCACTGACCACGTAAACTACCCGGGTTCGAACCCTACTCGGACCCAAACATTCCTGGTCAGGTTCTTACAATGCTCCATGGTTTTTTATCATTTTTTATTCGCATTGACCTCAATTTTTCGGTCATGTATAAGATGACAGTTTTTGCTCACAACCAAAGACGCCGACGCCGACACCAAAGCTAGAATTTCAGCGAAATGAGCTCTTTAACGCTATTGCGTTAAAAGAAATCAGCTAAGAATTTTACTATAGTTCTAAGAACTTAACCTTTTATAACTACCTACCGTTGAGGTTTAATACTATTTAGAAAAATATCTGGCCATTGCCAAGGCGCTGAAAGGCAACGTTTCTGGAGCAATTCTAATGCTGAAATTACAGTTATATTAAGCCTTATAATGTGCCGTAAATGCTTTTGTTTCAGCAGCTCTTTCCCCAGAAATAGGAAAATTGATGTCATCTTTTAACAGTTACCTAACACGAGTCTTCTTAAGTGGTAGTAAGAACCACCACTCATCTTCTTTTGTCAAAATTCACGGGTATAAGTATGCCTTACTTATGCATGCCGGTAAAAAGCTTTCAGAATACTTGGTGGTATGTGAGAAGAATTGAAGGGGTTAACTTTTGGTGTTGATGATTACGTAAAATATCAAAGGGAAGATACCACCACCTCAGATTAGGCTTGTTCCCACGACGAACCGCGACATGCTACACAAGTTCAAAGAAAAATATACAATATGCAGAGTATACACTAATTCGCATTCACATTTTTCTAAAAATAATTATGCGGCTACTTTCTAAAGGTACCTAAGTATTCGGATTCCTTCAAAATATTCGCGCCGACTTTGACCTGAGCGACTCGGATTTTCATTAGTCTTCCAGTACGAGCTTTTGAATTCGGCGTACGAAGTGCACAAACGTTATACAATCACACATTACCAGAAAACGGAAGAATAGTGCCAGCATGGTGCGTACAGATACTAAAAAGTATCCGAAATCCTGACTTGGTGATTATGACTACAGAGCTTGTGGTCTTGCCATTATCTTCCGTTCCTGAAAACATTTTCAAAGTGGGAAAGTTTTAATGCCTTGTTTTTTTAGCTTTATTGCTGTCTTTTTTGCTCTCAACTTTTCTGTTTCAGAAGAAAACAAAATCTGGAACTACCTCTCAACACCTATTTAATGTGTGTGGTCTAGGAAGTGCGGCAATGAGTTTTTTTTAATGTGGACACTACGACGTAACTTTAGATTCGCAAGAAATTTCAAGGAACTGGGCACGCTCAAGAATAGAACTCGAAATGAGCTCATCATTACGCCCGTTCTTTCGCTCATGAGTTGTGCATTGTGCGGCTTGCAAAACAGACGCATGAAAAAAGTCTTAAAATAAGTT